TTAACAGATTATGGTTCTACTCAATGATACATTCCTCTGATCTTGAGCCTTTTTCATCCAATTTGGGGTGGTGGTGGTTGCATGGATGGAAAATTACCTTGAGATTCTCACACTTGCAGAGACCCTGAATCTTGTTTCTGTACAGTGTGGAAAGCAGATTTCTTAATTCTGTAATACGCAATGGATACTGGACTGTCCCCACAAGGCAACATGTCTCGCACAGGAACAATAGTTCTCACTAAATGTGCCATTTTACTCAGCAGAGCCCTCCCCTACACATCCTCAGCTTGTTCATTATTACTAAAGACAGTTGCAGGATGCTCAGAAATTGATCGGATATACTGAGCCCTAAATTATGTGCTTCTTCATCTTCACACTGGAGGGAGTAGCAGGCAGGGAGAGGATGACCATATAGGGTAAGAAAGCTGCAGGTCATTGGGAAATTGAGTGGGATCAGTATCAGATCTGCATATTTGTGAAATGTGGCATGCTCAAAGCATCAGGTCAAAACCCACAGATACGTGGAGCTGAATATTGTGAATAATGAGTTCAAGTCTATATTTATCAACCATAGATTCAGGAAACCTGTGTGTATACACCAATTTCATTTGGATAACTTTACAAATGGAACTGTTTATTGAAAAAATTGCCTTTAAAAAAACAAATAGGTCGTTAATCTGAAAATACTAGAAATACGTATTTTCTATCTATGTAGATGCAGATATTTTTAAACAGTTCCTCTTGGACATTTTTTTTTTTTTTTTTGCAGTCCCGGAATAGCAAGGCCCTTTAGTCTAATCCAGTGAGGCAATTCTTATGATTTATTTTTAATGATGTAATGTTAGAAGTCTGGCACAGTGGCTATAAGATTAGATAAAGCAAAATCTGGAAAAGCACTGTTTCTAATTAAACTGTCCCTTTGTGCAGATTAGGCTGGAGACTTAGCCTGTGTTTGCTTTTTAGCATTGAACAAGCCAGTTGTAGCAAATTGCATGCAGCTCCTGCTGTATAAAAAAGCTGTTTCAATAGTGCAGGAGCATGGCTTTAGAGGCAGAAATAGCAGCATAGTCTGATTGAATGTTAGCAACATTTATCTTCGGGGGAAAAATAAGATTGAAGAATGCCCTTTTTCTTCTAGCACTGATATTATTAAGACTTGCTCTGCCACACTACAAAAATCTTGAGTTCTAGGAGAACCCACTGAAAAGAGCTGCTCTAACTTATAATCCTCTGCAGGAAAAATGATAACATTGTATCTGTAATATTTTCTAATAAACATGGACCTTAAGCCACTGTCTTGCTTGATTAATTTAGTTAAATTGTGTCAATCTCGTAGAAGTCAGAACTAGGGCTAATTACATATTTTCTCCATGGCTCTATCATATTTCTATTAACTATCTGAATGGAACCAATAAAGGAGATATATTTGTAGCTCAGGGTTGATATGAGGGGACTTTGGTCCTCTCTGAGCTTGGTTGTTTTCTTGCAGACGCTTCATTACTCAAACTAGGTAACATCATCAGTGCTGAATGGAGCTCAATTTTTCACTTGATTCCATCTTTTAAAATGTCGAATTTTCATATTATATTAAATTATATCTGTTAACAATACAAAAGCCCAAATTATAGTTTTTAATATTCGTTCCCTTCTAATTTATTTCCAGATGTGTCTTGTGAAATAGTATATTGCTATGTATTCACAAATTAGCTCTGAAGACATAAATCTTTAACTAATGGCAATTGCTGTATTTATTTCTGAGGAATGTATAAAATCTGTATAGTTAGTGAAAATACCAAATTCCCATATTCTTAGAATAGAATGGAGCTGGAAGTGACCATGGAGGTCTTCTAGTCCAGCCCCCTGCTCAAGAAGGAGAACCTATACCATTTCAGACAAGTGACTGTCTAGTCCAGGGGTAGGCAACCTTGGCTCTTTTATGACTCGTGGACTTCAACTCCCAGAATTCCCGAGCCAGCCATGCTGGCTCAGGAATTCTGGGAGTTGAAGTCCACGAGTCATAAAAGAGCCAAGGTTGCCTATCCCTGGTCTAGTCTCTTCTTAATATTTATTTCCAAAGCTCTTACATGTGAGTTCTTTGGTAATGTAAATTAATTTTTTAAAAAATAATTTACTCTAACCTAAAGATAGTTAAAGTAATAGAAGAACTGTATGTATGTTTTCAGTATTTATATACTATCCAATAATAAATGTTCCTTAAATAATTTAGACACACGATAACTTGCTCAGGACAAAAGAAAAAGCCTGGGGAAATAGGAAATATCCTGGGAATCCAGAGAGGCTATGGGGAGCTCTCTTATTTGTTTTGTCTTTTGATCAGTTAATGTTTCGTGACTGCTCATAGCAACTATGGCTACCATTTTGTGAATGAAACCTGCTCTCAGAATTCCAGTTACATTTCCTGGTTTAGTCTGCAAAGCATTTTAAATATTTAGTTGAAGAGGATACACACTGCTGGAAGACTAAAAGTTGATAGAAAGTCATACAGTCATGATAGAATGATATAATGGTGTAACTTCAGTTGAATCCTTGGATCGAGCTTGACCACTAGAGAGCAGTAGGCAGCAACAAACAACCAGCCATTGATACATAGATTGTTGAGAGCATTCTATGGTCCAGCACACAATCCTTTCTGTTTACAGAGATAAAGAGAGATAAAGAAGCAGAACATTTATGACGTACAGAAGATGGTCTATTTTAAAAAGTCTTATTTTTCTTTAAAAAGGTGCTTAATTCCAAATAAAAGAAAAGTTATTAAAGTTGGATTAAAGATACATCCATTGAGGCTAGATTCCAAAATCAGTTATTGCATCACAGTATAGGTACCTATTTCCTCAATTCCAGAGCTTGTTGTGATAAAGCTGGGAAGTCTTGATCTACTTTGAATCTGGCAGTGGCAGAGAATTTGTACATCTCAGAATGCCCCCTGGGATCCTACAAGATTTAAGATACAAAATAACTTAAATATTCCCAGTTTTAACAATCGTTTGGGGAAAAGAACAATCTGGAGCTTGTTGGATTAGCTTCTTCGTGACTGATGGTTTTGGCCAGTAAATTCTTCCTCAGTACAGATGCATGTAAAGATGAATAGGATTAGTTTTCCAGATGAAATAATTCATAATAATCTTCTCTTATTCATTAACAGAGGCCTCTGCCTCTACTTGATATGTTAACTTGGCTGTCATCCTGCTGTCTAGATCAGGGCTTTTCAACCAGTGGTACGGGTACCACCTGTGGTACATTGGCACCTGGCAGGTGGTACGCGACCATCCTAGAAAAGGGGTAGCGGGGGAAGGGAATGAGCTGAACTGTGGCAGCACCACACAAGCCTGAGTGAGAGCCGGCTGGAGCTGCAGGGCTGTCAGGGCTCAGTGGAAGCACCAGGATCAGCGCCAGGCTCCACTGGAGCTCGGCGCTGATCCTGGTGCTTCTGCTGAGCCCAGAAGAAGCACCGATCAGCTGGAATGTTGCAGCATCTCCAGGTTCTTGTGGTTTACATTCAGATGCTTGGCAACTGATTCATATTTATGACGGTCACAGTGTCCCAAGATCTTGTGAAGTGACCAAAACCTGATGCAACCACCCAGCAGACAGGGGAAATAAAAACCAAATACCCCCCCACCCCACTCACACAGCCAATCCTCAACAGAAATGCTCACAACAATGAAAACCTCGGACAGGAGCAAGAGCGCCACCGGGTGGGCAGACAGGTGTCATCCTTGGCTGGGGCTTGGGGGGCACTTTTTTCAGTGCCATTGTAACTTCAAAGAGTCACTAAGCGAACTGTTGTAAGTCGAGGACTACCTGTACTTTATCACTTTTTTCCTTTTTGGGGGGGGTCATCAAGTTTTTGACACCTTGCTAGGCGACTGGTAGTACTCGGATATTGCCATATCCTAAAAGTGGTACAATGGGTGAAAAGGTTGAAAAACCCTGGTCTAGATTAATACTTCTCTACCTCTTACAAAATCTATTAAAAGATAATTAGAAGACCTAAACCAGTCTAGATACATGATCATATATTTCCCCTTTTTAAAAAGTTGAAAAGTTTGAAATAATTTTTCAAGACTTTCCTGTCCAATCCATCAGAATCCTAGGCATGGCAATCAAATATAGTGCACATTATCCTCCAGACTTATTCTGACCATAAAACTAGCACAATAAGACTTGTACAAGATACGTGAAAGGATGCAGTCTGCGGCTATTGTTGATTGCTATAATGTTTTAAATATTAGATGAAGGATATAATATAATAATTCAGTGAATGCAATAAATATTGGGTAGACTTTTATTTCAAATTTTTACAATATAATAGATCTCTGTGTGATACAGCAGCTATCATAGTTCTGGATCAGTAAAAACACCAAACCATCTATCTTCAGATAGATTTTAGAGTCGTATTTCATGGGAGTATTAAAGTGCTTTTGAGAAAATCGCTAGAATGTCAAAAAGTATGAACAAAATGCCTCTTGTGCATTGTGGCTTTTCTTGCTTTTTCTGTTTGGAACTTTATATCAAGACTTTGATGCCATGTAAAAAGAAGTTCACCAAAAATTTTGAGGTTGAGAGAATGGAACCTTAACTGGAGCAGAAATGCCTTCCCATTTCTATACACTCCTGGTGGGTCCAAACCAGTGTAATTCTGAAACATTATTTTGAACATTTGGTTTGCTGCTTTTTTGTCAATAATACATGAAATCCAATACTCTAATTTTTCTTTTAGTAATTTAAATAGGAAAAAACCTGGTAAAAACTGGTGACACTTTTGGCATTGTAGACAGTTCATCCTCATCATTCTCATACAAATGGATGGTTATAATGTTGCTGTAAATTGAATTGATAGCATTGATATAGGTCTTTCAACTCTAACTATTTATTGAAAATAATTATACAGTAGGAGTAAGTGCACAGAGCAATATGCTGAAACACATTTTCTCTTTAAAAAATGAATAAAAGAATACTTATTCTTTCCTTTTTCTCAGTATCTGCTCTCACAACCAAAGTTCTGGGCAATCCAAACTTCTGCTCTTCTTCTACGGACAAAACTTGAAAAAGGAAGTATTCGTCGAATGGAACGGGCAATGAAACAGACTCAGGTAACATTTTTCTTGGTTTCTCTTCTTCTCCAGACTGTTAACCTTAGTATCCAAAGTTTATTCAGATTCATCATCAACTTGGTCAATCAGCAGTAATGGAAGTTTCAGTTCAACATAGTTGTACAGCAGCAAATTGGTGAGCACAGTTTTGTTGATTCTCTGACTTCTGTGGTTCTACATTGGGATAGGAAACATTGCTAGAATGTTTTAATAGATCCTTATCTTCTGATCAGAACAACTCATTTTTTGAACCCACTTCAGAAGTGAGACTACTTCTGAAGTAGCTGAGGAGGATCTGCAGTGGAAGCGGGCCCCCCCCAAAAAATCATACTGTAGTGAATATTGCAAAGTATAAGAGTAGAAATGAGCAAGGTTTGGATCCCCACTGATGTGTTCCCAGTATTTCAATGAAGTAAAATTAACCACTGAGAAATCCTTCATTGACAAATACCTGAGCCACCATCCGATTCCTTGAATGAAAAACTCTTAATGAAGAATTTTGAGGGGGTGCCAGTAGTTTAACATTTGCAACCTATGCTAGCCAATTTTTTTTCAATCAACCACAGCTGGCTCTTTCTTGTGGCTTCTTCAAAGGAGAAATGATGTTGTGGTTAAGCTGACTTATATCATAATGTATCTTCAATGTATCGTTTAAATGAGTCATTTGAAATGTGTATTTGACTGAAGATAGCATTTGTATTTAGACTGGAATAAAAAAATCCTAGCTAAAGATACTCAGCTGCTTTAACTGTTCTCCATAGGACTTGGTTTCTAGACTTCTCACCATCTTGGTAGCTTCCTTGTTCCAGTTAAACCAGAATGTGGTGTCCAGAACTGGACACAGTATTCCAAGTAGGGCTTGACTAAGGCAGAGAGTGTGAGATAATTATTCCCTGTGAACCCTCAGCTTTTGTTCATACATCCCAAAATAGCATTTGTCTTTTTAGTAGCTGCATCACAAGGTTATCTCATGTTCACTTTGCAATGTACTGGAACAATGTTTCTCACATTGATAACTTTAGGATATGTGGACTTCAACTCCAAGAATCCTAAGTTGTCAAGGTTGAGAAATATCATACTCAAATACCCAAATCCTCTTCACCTATATTAATGTAATCCCTATCCCACCAAACTCTAACTCTCTAACTCTCTCCACTCTCCACCTCCTATTTTTGCCCTGGTTGAGTAAAGTTTTATTGTCATCTTTTCCTACAACAATCTGAAACTGACTATCTTCTCTATTCTATGGGCTTGTATTCAGCCTAAATACTCTGTGGGCCTTTTTGTCTTTTGCTTGTCAGAGCTCATCCAGGACTTCATACTCAGTGTAATCTTCACATTTTTTTTTGTTTCTATTTCATCTGGTTCCCAACCCTGGCTGATTTTTGACCATGGATTTTATTTGCCTCTTTTAGTTGTGAACTGGCTGTCATTTTTCCCTGTATTGCTCTGGCCATCTTACACTTTGCATTAATTCACCCACTAACATGATTGTCCATAAAACTATGCTATAATTATCATATGTTGTTTATCATACCCAGCTTCTCCCTTCCTCTTTAATATGGATATACATCTTAATTACCAATTATACTTTATATGATAGCTTTCCTAAAGCTGTAAAGATTTAGCATATAGTAGGACAGTAAGAATCAGGAAGAGAGCTATTTTTTACATAATAAACTTGGATGCTGTTTCTACTAGAGAAGTCCCTATGAAATATTACTTTTCATAATTTGAATACATACTTTATTTTAAGTAGTTTTCCTTATCTTTTCTATTTTATCCACTTAATGTTAGCCAATAATTAAATCATATCCTTTAACAAAATAGCATTGTGTTCTTGTATTCTCTTTATTATCACGTTCTTGTTCTGTTTCAGCAGAGGAGAGGCAGATAATGCCAATATTTTGCTCTCCAGGAAATTTTTGAAAGCACAATTTTGTCTTTTTCTTGACAGTCTTGATTAGAAGACCTTTGGGGTTAACAACTTAGGCTAAAATATTCCTTCAGACATCAGGAATCTGTTGATTTTAAAATGTGAACAGTGTTGACATCAGCAGACACGATACCAAATAAAGTATCATATGCAGCTTATTCTGTGATTAATACTGAGGAACGTAGGATTTCTTGAACTGGAAAGTTCATCAACGTTCTCTTTGCTCCTTCAAGATTGTCCATAAAAGTCTTGATAACTTTCTAGCCATGACTAATGTGATTATGGTGATTCACTTTTGTATATAGTTTAATTCATTCATATGCTTTAAGTAGTGCTTTTTCATCCTATGCACTTGGCAAAGGATTCCAGTATACTTTTTATTTCCACTACTGTAGTATTTTTAAACAAGGCATGCTTCTTAATCACATGGTTGACTTCTAAGAGACCCCCTGTGCCTGATCCTTTAATATGGCCTAGGGCCTAGGCCATGTTAAGACCAACATGGAAGGAAGAAGCTAAAGCTGATTGCAGTTTTATATAGCTTTTACTAGGAGAAATCAGTTAAAGAAATAGGAAGGAAAGATAATTTCTGAATATGGCTTTCAATAATAAGTCTAGTAAAGTTTTCAAAACCACAGCTAGAGTTGGGACTAGGAAGGCAATATTCCCTTAAGCCAGGGATGTCAAACTGCTGGTCCGCGGGCTGGATGCATCATGGCAAAACCATGCCCACCCCATTGCAGGCAATGGAAAAAAAGTCACGATACATCGCGACACGTCACATGACATTGCAAGTTTGACACCCCTGCCTTAACCCCTACAAAATTCTGAATTTTTGGAGCCTATACATGCAGTACAGATGTTTAGTGATCAGAGGTTAAATTTATTGTAATTTTGGTCAGAATAGAATTGATTTATTGTATTATAGGCATTAAAAAAATTGTGTATCTTCTTCCATGCCTTTTAAGCATATAATTGAAGGACTTCAATCTCAGTCAATCGTTCCGGCATGTTGTTATTATTTTTTTTTGTCATTGCGACTTCACTATTTAATATTCTATATTGCTAATCTGTACCCTGGGGTAGTATCTGCATTGCATTCAAATTAGAGATCTTTACACAATATGGGATATGAAGCTCCATTTTCCAAGCACACATTCAGCCATATTTGAATTCATTGGGATTTGTTAGGAACTTGCAGTCTAGCCATCTGCAAGGTAGTGTTATTGTCAGATTGCTAATATTGGTGCTAAGGTTGTTGTTCCCAGACATCCTTGGAAAAACTTCATCTGTATTTGCAGTCTGGTCCATTACAATTACATACATAAGACTGGCTTTTAATCTGTTTTTGCTTACATGTATTGTAATATTTTGGGTAAAGCAGAATATAATTGCCCCTTTTGGAAAAAACAGTTTTTGTTTTTTGTTTTTTGTAATAGCTCATCTTCTGCTACCGAGTTCGTTTCAGAAAGCTGTTTCTAGTTATCAGGAGCAAACTTTTATATGAGGAGCTGGATAATTAAGCTGTCTGAATCCAAGGAGATTTATTGAGTGCTTAAATTTTGGGGCAATTATCAGACTGGCTGCCAAGTAAGAGAGCTGGTAATTGGATATACCATTTTAATGACAGCTTCTTGCTTTACAACCTAAAAGCAAAATTGTCTCCTTTAATTTATATGTGTCTTTGCATAATAGTTGCACATGAAGGGAAACTTAGGGGGTGAGCAATCATCAAGCTTGGGCAAAAGACAGATTTCAAGTTTATTTAATTTTATATAGTAATATGTTGAAATATATATGGAAGAAGAATGCCCCAAAAGCAGGACCAGAACATTGTAAGTGAATTACTGTGAGAGGTAGTTCTCACAAGATTGTGTAGTACACAATCTGAAGTACACAATGTAGAGCATTATCTTATTAGCGTAAGAGATAAGTGCGACCATTTGATACTTTGGGCATTCTTTTGTACTGCTCATTTTTGCCATTGGAATAGTAATTGACTTTTTCCAATCCTTTGACTAATTCTGTATTTTTACAGCTGCTTATACGCTGCATGTATTATTTTAATTGTATCATTTAGTAAGTGTTAAAAAATTCTGTTGGCATTTCATCAATTCCTGCAGCTTCATTTTTAGCAATATTTTCTAGGGACTATTTAACTTTAATTCCCAAAGTATCTGGTATAGATCAAAACCTTTATAAGTATCATCAATTTGGAGATAATTTTTCTACGGTTTTTGCAAATACTTGGATTACCCCTCTTTATATCTTTCTCCAATTAATCTTGGCCTTCTTTATATTTTAGTTTTACCCACATTTGCACAAAAACATTCAGCATTTAGTTGAGCAAAATTTTCTCTGTTTCAATGCCCAGATTGGGGAACATTGTTTAAAATTAGGGAACTTAAGAGAATATTAGGTTTGTTATTTCTCAAATCCTAGCATTCTATGAGGCAAGAGGATCATTTAAATTTAAATTGTTATCAGGTTTCCTTGAGATTTAACGATTAAAAACCTCCTAAATGATACATTTAAATGATCCTCTTGCTAACTAATTTTCAACAATGTTCCCCAACCAATTTTATTAGAGATCAAACATCTCAAACTGTTTCTGCCTGTTTTTCTTTAGCTTTTCCTCAAACAGGCATAGAACATTGCCTTAGGCCAGGGGTAGGCAACCTTGGCTCTTTTATGACTCGTGGACTTCAACTCCCAGAATTCCTGAGCCAGCATGGAAGGTTGGCTCATAAAAGAGCCAAGGTTGCCTACCCCTGCCTTAGGGCTTAGGCAGAGTCAGAAAACTGACCAATCTTATTCAATTTTGTATATATGTGTTGACTGCAGCTTTCCCTACTTTCAAGTGGGATATGAGGCAGACGGAACCTGAAATGTTTTGTATGCAAGTACATGTTCTGCCACTAAGGATCTCTCTGGGATCCCCAGGAAAATCTTTGAGAGGATTTGCAAATAAGAAAAGGAACTTTTTTTGCAGGGAGAGTCTTCAGTTGATAAAACTTTGTATGCAATCCAAGATGTGTATATAAGGGGCACTAATTTGTCATATCCATGTGGAATTCTAAAGTACTTCGAGGTAATTTCCTCTGATGCTAGGTTTATTAATTCAGTTTTCTACTTAATGTCCACTAGATTTGTTGGACTACAATTCCCATAACTTTCAGCAAATGCATCTGCTAGTGTCAGGTTGTGCATGGCTGTAATAGTTGATAAAGCACACACTGAAACAAACAGAGGAATTATTTTCAGATGATAAACTTAAGATAAGAAATGCTTTCATTAAAACAATTTGTCAGATGGTCTCACATACTGCTCTTCAGCGGAAGTGAACGCTAATATCCTTAGGATAAAAGACAGCATGTTAATATGCATCACTATTATTTATTACTTGATTGATTTATATATATTAACTATAAATTATGATATATACTTTCTAGACTAGACTTCCATCCCCTTGAAGATGCCTTCAATAAATGTTTCCATCATCCTAAAGTGGGGCATTAGGAATTACAGTTGAATATATCAAGAAAGGATATGGAGATGAGTAACATTGGCTTACAAATCAAGTGAAATATGAAAATTAAATTAGAAGGACATAGAGATAGCTAATGTCTTTTCACAAGACATTATCATGGCTCCGTAGCTACTTAGTGTTTCCCATGCTGCCTACATCGAGTAGACACTAAAATCCAAAAATCTGAGGGATACAAGAAGCCTGCCACTAGGGAATTAAATTAAAATTAAATACATTTAATTTTCATTTATAAAAAAATGAATCCTTCTGAATAGAATTTTATTCAGTGACTGATACCTTTAAATATCAAATCAAATCTTTATTTTGATCAAACACCAGCATAAGGAGGGTGGAATACAGTCAACTAAAAAGCATAAAAAATACATCAGAGTTAAAACAATGACTATACAAAGCTAAAATATATTAAACAGAAGTATTTATAAAAAGCAAAGTCTAAAAGGAGGGTAGGAGCATTAAATAGGTGTAGGGCAGGCATGTCAAACTCGTGGCGTCGCACAACGTATCGAGATTTTTTTCCCATTGCCGGCAATGGGGTGGGTGCGGTTTTGATATGATGCATCCAGTCCGTAGGCCAGCAGTTTGACATGCCTGGTGTAGGGGAATCTTCCTGTATGGCCTTTAAGGACAGCTGAGGGGAGGGTATAACATTGTTCCAAAGTAAAGGCACTGTGGTTAGGAACTTCTACTTTCAAGAACAAAATTTGTCCGTGATGGTGATAAAACGGACTGTTACAGAGTCTCCACTTTCTCTCATCTTCTGTTATAGTACAGAAAAAAGATACAGGTAGTCCTCAACTTACGACCACAAATTGAGCCCAACATTTCTGTTGCTAAGCAAGACAGTTGTTAAATGAGTTTTGACCCATTTTACAACCCTTCTTGCCATAGTTGTTAAGTGAATTGCTGCAGTTGTTAAGTTAGTAAGTTAAGTGAAACTGGCTTCCCCATCGATTTTGCTTGTCAGAAGGTCGTAGACCCTGGAACATTGGGGTCACATGACCCTGGAACATTGCAATATGAGTCAGTTCCCAATTTTGACCACGTGACCATAGGGTGTGTGTGCTGAAATGGTCATATGTGTAACTTTGAATAGTCATTATATGAACTATTGTAAGTCAAGGACTGCCTGTACATCTGCTACCTAGCTCTCTATGTCTATGAAGTGGTCTGTTATTTCATAGGCTTTTTGAGATTTTGACTTTTACAGTGGCATCTTATACATCATATTTATTTATTTGTTTTATTTTATTTATCAGATTTTTATCCCATCTTTATTATTTGTAAATAACTCAAGGCAGCAAACATGCATAAAACTCCTTCCTTCTCCTCTCCTCTCCTCCTCCTTTCCCCACAACAACTCTTGTGAGGTGGGTTGGATTGAGAGAGATAGTGACTGGTCCAGAGTCATTCAGCTGGCTTTCATGCCTAAGGTAGGCCTGGAACTCACAATTTCCTGGTTTCTAGGCCAGCACCTTAACCCCTACACCAAACCAGCCCTCCAGTTTGTTCTTATATTTATTGCTCTTATATTGGTTTGGAAACACTGTTTGATGTATATAGGCTTTCTATGTAAGTACGGTAGCTTTAAGCAGATAATGCTATTTTGTTCAGTTGTTGTGTTAGGCAGATCCTATTAAAATGTTATATTGCATTACATATTTAAATATTTTGGATTTTCAGGCACTTGCAGACCAATTTGAAGAGAAAACAACATCAGTTTGTGAACGTATGAAGATATTTTACAGTTGCCAGGTCCCTCCACACTGGGCCATTCAGGTATAAAATAATTGATTTGTAGATATCATTTTTATGAAGCATGAAAGATGCTGAAATAGAAAAATTTCTCCTGTTGTATTTTTATACGAAATACTATAGCAGATCTATTTACTTGGCTTATTATATAAAAATAGTAGGCTTCTGTATTAATACAGTGCATTCCAACTGGCAGTGTTTTTAAACTGTGCATTAACAACATTACCAAATGTCACCACACCAAATATAATTGTAATTGGTCAAAATCTTGGTCAGTTGTCAAGAGATTGGCCAAGAGATTTCCTTGAAATTTGACCTTAATTTTTCCAACACATTTGTCTGTCTTTGACGCAGAAGAAACCATTTTTGCGTTCTTTTTGTTTTAAAATCCTTCAGAAATCTTTCCAATTCACAAAACCCAGTGTGGTTTTCACTTTGATTTTTTTTCCCTCCAAGCCAAACCAATTTTGTGAGTTCTATTGGTGATTTATTATTGACAGTGGTTGAAGTGCTGTCTTAAGTAGCACAGCCCTTGCATATATTTCTCTCATATTTACCCTTGAAAACTGTTACATATAAATCATAGATACGATTTGCTGCTGGGGAGGACCATGTCTTCTGATGCTGACCTTCGTAAGCAGGCTCTTCTCTGTCCCTTCTTGTAGCCTCCCAGAAGCCCAAGGGGAAAACACAAAAAAAAAACCCAGGAAAGGACCAGCAAAAATCTTGTCAGCAGCATCCATTAGGACTTCTGGCTATGATCCATTTATCTTACTCATCTTGGTGTTTCTTTTGTCTCCAGAAATCCTGTCTTGTCAGTCTGCCTGTTTCTTACTTGTCAGCCCATAGTTTTTCCTTGATCTTGGGTAAATCCTAGATCAATTATATTGTTTCTAGATGTCATTCATGTACCAAAAGAGCAGCTGGAAATAATTGAAGTAAAAATGGTCAGCTTGCTAGGATACTGTATTTTAATTTATATTGTTTCTTCTTCATTTAGAATCTGTTTGTCTGAAGTCTTTTACCCTGATGGGTGAAGCTAAAAGCTTTGGAAACTGTTTAGAGAATTATTCAGTCACAATTCACTTCTTTAGTTCTCTAAATCTCCACCCCACCCTCAAAAGAGAACAAAATTGTTCATGACCCAGCCTGCTTTAGAATTTAGTCCTGGATGTGCAGCTCAGAGCTAGCAAGTTCCTCAGACAGATGGACATTTTGCAGTCTGGCAATAGAGGCTAGAATATATTGTTAGCTCTAAATAAATTACAATTAGAGTTGTCAATTATTTTTTGGGCATTTACCTTGAATGTGGCCTCTTTCTATTTGGAAGACAATTAATTTGATGTTGTTTTATAGGCCTGGATAAAATGTGAGTTTCTTCTCAAACTTTTAATACATCTAAAATTCTCTGAGCTATGTCTAGTTGAGCTATCTGGTTTTGGTAGTGGATTTCTTCTCCACTGTTTCCAGAACAGATTTTATGTCTGTGTCTCTGTATGTGTGTGTGTGTGTGTGTGTGTCACACACATAGTGTATGTTCGGTCAGCGGTGAAGGTTTCAATGAAGTCATAGCAGATGGCAGCTCCTAATCAAATTTAGCTGATTTCAAAAAAAAAACTAATCACACTTGAATCTGGGTAATATCTCATGAGAGATTGAGATGAAACCTCTAAGCTTAAAGCTAGGTTGGGAAGTTGAAAAAACATCCTACAAGAAGAGTGTTCAATCACTGCTGCACTATTTCCAAACAACAATGTCCTTTTAATCACCAATTGAGGGAAGGGGCTAGCAAAGTAGGGGCAAGTCAGGTTAAATTTTAAACCCTGTGCTGTATAAAGTCCCCAAAAGGTCACCCAAAAGAAGAAATGCCCATTTTAAAACTGAAATATTTATTAAGCAAGTAAAATTAAACAATTTAATTTATTTGTATGCAGTCATCTCCCAGAAGAAAAAGTGAGAAGGAGAGAGATTAAAGGCTTGTGTGTGTGTGTATGTGTGTGTGTGTGTGTGTGTGTGTGTATAATCTGAGCTTTGAAAAAAAAAAGAGAGAGAGAGAGAGAGGGAGGGAGGGAAGGAGACATTGCAGGATGATGTAGAAAAAAGACAGAAAAATGAACTATTGCTAATTTTATGGGCTCAGCATTTTTGTTGAAGAATTTCAATTCCTTCTGGCCTAGCAGTTTCAAAGTTGTTTGCTTTCCAGGTATTTATTCTAAAAACCCGAGAAGCTAAACATTCATTGAAGACATTGAAAACACCAAAAGTATTCATTCTTTATTATTTTATTATCTATTGCCCAACATTGTTTCAAATGTTGTTTAACTACACATCAGAATTTGTAATTTCTTTGAGTATAACATGCAGATGTCATAAAAAAATTAGTTCTGATTTTTTTCACATTAAATAATGTAACCCCAATAGTTGCACAGACTATAAATACTGAGGCGAATATGCTAATTTGAATCATGCTAATTCGCATTTTTTAATTCAGAAGTTTCCAGATTTCTGGAAAGATTCCATATTTCATTTTTGTGTTCTGTTTGTCAGTTTTTTGGGAGGAAAAAAAGATAAAGTCTTAAGAATAAATAGACCTTAGAGGTGCAAGGGCAGGCTCAGAAAGTGGAATCAAAGCCCCATAGAGAGAGTTGTAAGAGGGAAAAGAAACATGGATTCTGGGAGAAAGGGACCTTTATAGGCCAATGTGAGTGTGCACTTTTTTGTTCCCTACTGGTCAATGGAGGACAACTCTCAGTTGGCTACTGAATAACCCATAGTTCAACAAAAGACAGGTAATGTCAAATACTTTGAAGAGGTAGGTCTTGAAATTTCAGGTTTCTCATGACCACTGAATCAGTAACGTAAGGAGATTATGGTAAATGGTGAAAGTTGATTATGTTGGAATGGAAAGATTTGGCATTTAAAAAGCATTTAAGACTCTAGGGAAATTCTTAAGATGCTTCAGTACTAATCTGTTTCAAATAACTAGAGGTTGCTGTGGGAGAACTTGGCAACAGTTTTCCCACAGCGATGAACTCAAGTGTACAGTATACAGCAGCTAGATCAATTTCAGCTATATTCGGTTGTGGATTGAGGTTTCCAAGTCTGTCAGGCTCTGGAATAGCACTGAAGCTAGCATGCACATAGTCATATTGGTGAAATTTGTCTCTTGCAGCATTTTGCCCAGAATGTGTGAGTGACTATAGGAAGCTGATGTCATTTTATTTATTTGTTAAATTTATTTGCTGCCTATCTCACTGTGGGGCTACTATAGGTGGCTTACAACAATAAAAAGGGAGACATGAAAAGAGTGTAAACGAAATAGAAGTAAAATAATATAACAATAAAATAAACAATGAAAAAGAAAACAAGAATACATCAATATGTTAAGAAAAAGATGGAAGGGTAAAGAGCAGAGAGCAAGGAAGGAAGTGGAGTCTGCCATCAATCCAGCAGCCACCTTCAGCATGGAATTCCCCCATTGGGTCCCCATTTGAGTGACATTACTGAGAGGTGGGCTTATCAGGACAGCTCATATGGTAGATATTTTTCATTCTCATCATGCCTCAATGCTCTCTTGCTTTCCAGCAATCAGCAATTGGATAAATCAGCCTACTCTAAATATATTGGGTCAATCAACTCAGTACATCTGAGGCATATCTGTTAGGAGAAGACAGGTGCAAATCTTTATTAGTTATTATGGTATTAGTTATTATTTAAGAGCATATTTTGTAATTGTTAAAACAAAATGCATCATGAGCCCATGTTCTACCTGCTCTTTTGCTTTGATTTTCCTGTCTGTTAATCAGATTTCCTTTGCTTTTAGAAGTCTGGATATTGAAATGAAGTAACTACTATGTAAACTTGGAATTAATTCCCTCTAATGTGTTGTCCAGGATTTCATTTCAATTGTTTCATTAACTGATAGCTGGTGTACTTACATGAATTGGCCAGACTTTCTTCCCTCTGTCCCTAGTTAGCCTTTCTAATTGCCTCTGAGTAAAGGATTGCATCATGGAATGTCAGTGTGACCCAGACAGATGGAGACTCTAGAGACTCTAGACAGATAGAGTCAATATTGGCCAGCATCAATGGGACGTATTGTTGGTTATTTGTGTGCATATCCTGGTTTCTTCTTTCTGTTCCAGTATCTGGAAATGGAGAGAGAGCCATTACTTCCATGTATAGGGTAATTCTGAGTGACTAAAGTTTGTAAAATCCATAGCCAATCTCTACTAATTTTAATTTTGAGAAATTACAAGTGCAAAATGAATAGACTTTTCTAGATTTCCATACCTTTGAGAACTGTCTTGAGCGTTTCAAGTTATTTTATAATCTAAATTCATGTAAGCACTGCTAAATGTTGTTCTAAAGAAAAATGCATAACTTGAATTTTTTCAATATTCTACTTTGAAGCGTCAACTTGCAAGCTTACTCTTTGACCTTGGATGCACCACTTCAGCTCTGCAGCTCTTCAAAAAGCTTGAAATGTGGGAAGATGCTGTTATCTGTTATGAAAGATCAGGCCAGCATGGGAAGGTAGAGTACTTCCACTCTGATTGCTGTTTTTATGTTTTTAACATGCTGTACCTTTTGTACATATATGGCTTTCTTCCCATCAACATCTACCACTTCAAAACTATCTAACATTGCTTATGTTACTTGCACTAAAAACAAAGCAGTAGCATTAAAGACAAAAAAGATGATCAAAGAAAATGAAGGGAGTGGGGGGAGAGAGAAATGAGGACAGGCATTTTTAAATTACATCTCTTGATTGTGAGGGAACCAAAACTGAATGTAGCTACATGTTTACATTAGTCTTCAAGAAAAAAAAAGTGTAATTAACTTGGTGATAAGTAGGATTCCATGGCATGAGACATTCTTGAGAAAATGAGCAGAAATTGGGTGGGCGTTCCTAAAAAAAGGAGACACTAAAAGCAAAGGGAGGCTGGGAACAAATGAAGCTAATGAGACTTCATAAAAAAACACAACGGAGGCTTGACAATCAGAAAAGATGTATATAGGCAATGAAAAAGGGGAGGGTTTTGTCAAGGAAAATTGTGGAAGGGCTAGATTTGTAGATCAGGTATTAAAAATTTGCTCAGAAATGCTAAGAACAAAACTGCTTTCTTCACATATGTTTAAATATAAGAAGAAGAAGAAGCAAAAGAAATAACACCTTCTCAGTGAACGTTTGAAAATGGCAATAAATTCCAGAGAAACGTTAGGAGCATTTAAATTTTTGCTCAGTCTCTAAAGGGGATACCATCAAACTAATTTAAGAGCAAGTTGGAGAAGCAGGATCCTAATGTCAGCTTGATAGAAACATAGTCTCCAGGAAAAGAGAGTTTGCCTCCTAGCTTACTCAAGAAACTTACTAATCATTTCACCAAACGTCTACTCACTATCTTTGAAAATTTTTAGATAATGAGGTACCATATGGCTAGAGAAGGAATAATGTTTGTCCTCCTTTATGGGAGAGAAAAAAGAAGGATCTGGGAAGCTTCAGCCAGGGCTGAGCAAATTATTTAAAAGGGGAAACTCCACAATTAAAGACAGCATGAGCAAAGCACTTCTTTACAGAGCATTAAAGGCACTATGTTGTTTGGGAGGCCAACATGGTGCCTTTGAAGGCTGTGCCTTTGTGTGTATGTGCATCTGCTTCATTTCTCTCTTGGGCCCCATGAAATATTCTTTTCTGCATTGGTCAGCCTCAAAATACTGTGTCTAGTATTTAAAGACTGAACACCAGTCTTTAAAAAAAAATCAGATGGATCCCCAAAAAGACAACATAGAGAATCAGGACATCGGAAACTAAGTTTTAAAAGACAATTTGGGAGAATTCAGAAAAGACACCTGAGGGGATAATATTATAGCCCATTTCAAGTTTTGGGGTAGGGCAGGGAGTCCCACAGAATAAAGGCAAGGCCTGTCCTCTGTTGTTCCAGAACACAGAACAGAGAATAGGTCATGGGAAAATAGGTTCTGGGTGAATGGCAGGAATAGCTTTCTAAGGCAGAAGCAGTTCAAGGGAGGCAACAGATTCCTCTTTGTTCAGAAATAGAGAGCTGTCTCTCAGGATTGCTTTAAATCAGTGGTTCTCAACCTTTTTAATGCCGTGACCCCAACCGGTCGTAAGTCGAGGACTAAACCGGTCGTAAGTCGAGGACTACCCAACCGGTTGTAAGTCGAGGACTTTCCCTGCCTGGGAGCGCCGCGCATATGTGGCTCCGCCCCCTGCGCCGGCCGAGGCGTAGCTGGCAAGCGGCAGAGACGGAGCAGGCCGACCACCAGCTGGCCCAGCTCAAGGGAGGTAAGGCACCCGCCGGAAAAGGGGGGAAAAAATGGCGGACAAAAAAAATGGCGGACAGCCTTGCTTGGCGACCCCCGTGAAATGGTCGATCGACCCCAAATGGGGTCGCGACCCATAGGTTGAGAACCACTGCTTTAAATCAAAATGTAGCATTGAGCAAAGGGCAGGTCATTTAATTGGCCCCACCCAGTTCTGTGATTCTCTAGGTCAAGGCAAAATAATGGAGAATTAGGGGAGAAGGGAGAGCTGTATGAATATTCTGATACAATTCCTCAAAGTAATTTGATGGATTTGGGGAGGGAGGGGGAGAATCATTTCCAGATTGGTTTGCAGGTGTCATCTTGCTATTTTTTCCTCTGATATTTCCCTTGTTTTCCACTTAATTTTGTACTTTTATCCTAGTTATCTTTGGTTATCAGTGTTCCCTTAGCAATCTGTATATTTTGATGGGCTATCATGTGTTAGACCTATACCCAGAATTAGATGATTAAACGCATCATAATTCTAGGCTCTTGATAATTTCAATTTTTCACCAACATTGATTACTGCCATTGTCAAGATATGTGAAGGAGGTGGGCATTGATATTAAATCCATAATAACTTCAGGCATGCTATATTTTTTAAAACTGCTTAGAGAGTTAATATTTAAAAAATATTTTTATTGCACAGCTCTAAACCTCATAGGTTTTTTAACAAGATCTCTGCAAGAATTAGAAGCTCAAGATATATATTTGCAGTATTTCTAAGTTTGCTATAGAAAGGAACAGTGAAATAAAAAAAGGCAATCTGGATATGAAAAACGCTCCAGTCCAATTGCTCCCAATGGCCTGCTAATTCAAATTCCATTTCAAATTCCAGTGCTAGGATTGGAAGGCGTACCAAAGAACCATTAGTGCTCCATGTTATCCCTGGTATTTGGTCAGAATTAGACCATGCTGTGGCTGCCACAGTAATCTCAAAACCAGTTTCAAATGTTTAGTGTGGGCTGTCAGCCCACAGCCCAGACACTTCCTCCAGCATCTTTTACCAACCTTCTAAATGTTACACTGTGCTGGGTGAGAAATTCACAAATATTTAGTATGTAACATCCTGACTGTTGCAGGCCAACAAAACAAGAAACCCAAATTCTGTGATCTTTAAAACATTACAGAAAAATACACCCCAGCCCAGCCCAACAATCCCCAAATGCAGGAACTGTAGACTGTTTGGAAACCAGACAGGATGTTATAGGCACCCATCCAATGTCATCTATATCCACATAATTTGCTTCCCAAGTAGCTAGGTATGTGGAGCAACAAAGTGTGTATTTTCATATTTCAGACATCGGGTAATTCTTGTTGGTTTTAAGAGCATACTTATTGACAGCCACGTAAGTCTGCCTAACATACTGTAGCCATTATTTGCAACTCCTAAGTATGGTAATTACAAACCAAAGAATTCATGTCAGTGCAAAATTATGCTGTTCTTTCATCAAAAAGTTTGTGACAGGGTTAAAATGCCAACCTGAGAATCCTGTCAACCTGAAGGCCATGTATTTCGTATTTGTTAGGAATTGATTTTATTTGGATAAATTCAATACCGGTATGTACTGCTTAGAAATAGAAATGGCTGAAATAGAGGCCTGGAGGCAGTGGCAGCTAGATGAAACTATCGATGGGCCCACAATTCCATAGCCCTGTGTCCTGTCTCCCTCAGACACACACACACAGAGATACACCACAAGGGTTTGAAGACTTTATTGAGGCTCCACCAGTGCCAGGTATTATTCCCCAGGATTCACCCCATGCAGGAACCAGTGCAAAAACCAATGAGTCCAATTCTCAAGTCTGAGAACACAGAGCAAATCCTTAAAGTCACCCACCAGGTTCGGAGTCTCAAGCCAAGTCCACGGTCTGAGCACAAATCACGGAACCAAAGTCCAAGTTCAAAGTTCAAGAAGCCAAGTCTAAAGTCCAGTCACAGGAGTAAGGCTTAATCCCAAAGGCAAGAGGCATGACGGCAGATCAGACGCATGGCAAGAAATGGATGAATTATTTCCAGCATCGCTTTGTTCCACATGCTGGGCTAAATAGCCACCAGCCAGTGCAGCTCATTAGGAGGAACAAGGCTGCCTCTTTGTGAGTAGCCTCACCGACCTCCATTGCAGCTCTTTCCTCTCAGTCCTGCATGCCCTGGGATCAGGTGGAAGAGGCAGTTCCTCCTCATCCCTGCTGACCGGCTGCAGCTGAGCCCCTTTTCTGCTCTCTGCTTCTGGCTGGTCTTCCAAGCCTCCTGGCTGTAGCCCTCTCTTTATCAGCCAGGCGTTCGTCCGATCGTTCTTCCAGCCTCTCTGAGGTTCCTGGCCTTTCCTCCTCCTCTTGCCCAACTGCACCTGATTCAGAGTCCCCGGCATCTTCCAGATACTCCTTGGTGCCCTATTCCCAAGTTCCTAAAGGCAGCTCTTCTTCCTTGTCCGAGCCAGCTTTTGGAGCATCCATTACACCCCAGCCCTGGCACTGCCGGACAAGAACTGCTATGCAGGGTATCCAAAAGGCATAGATAAAGTGAGATAGATGTTGCATAGCATTACATTCATAAAAGCTGCTGGGCTGGGTGGGGTGACTATGGCTTTCAGGGGTGGCTATGGCTTTTTCTGCAACTCACATGTGACCTGCACCTCCTCCACACCCTGGATTCCCTCTGCTTAAAGACCCACAATTCTTCATTAACAATAGCTGGGAGTGCTGGGATTATGGTCACTAAGCAATGTAGTCATGTGACATCTTGCTCTACAGTGGAATTTCTGGTCCCAATGGTGATACCTGTATTTGACAGAAGAGCATTTTAGAATGAAAACTTTCTGTTTTAATTTCATCTTTTAGGATTAGAGCTTTACGGTCTTTTTTAAAAAAAACTGGATAGTTTCTATCATTCTTTGAAGAAAAATATAATTTTTCACATTTTTCACTAATCAGAAAATAAAAAAAAACACTTTACAGACCAATTGTGTGTTTTTTTAGTTTTATAGTTTTAAAGCATGCACTAAACTGCTATAAATGATAATCCTGAGTTCTGTTAATTGAGTTCTCAATTCCAGTGTTTGGTTGAACTATTTAGGCGATCAGAATGCTATAAAAAGAACTACATCTTTGTCATTTAAACCTAAATATTCCAAGAGTGTTTCAATCAACACCATCTTAAACTACAGTAGTGTTCTCAAGAAAAAAATACTAATAATGGCAAACTG